TACACATCAACACTGTCATTTTAAAAATTAAAAGACTAGATGTATGTTTTCCTTTGGAAAAGTCCACTTGGAAGAAAAAGCCCCAAAATGTGTATTCTTGTTTTATTCATTTGTTTTGTTGTTGTTTTGTTTTGAAGCCTTACTGAAATGGACAACATTGCAATGTTCTGCAGGAGAAGAAAATCCATTGTAAATACTTTCTTGACCACACCAAAAATATATATGTATATAGAAATGATACATTAACCCTCGAAGTACTCAAACACTGCCAGCCCGGTTTAAAAACAGCAGACATGCACACCACCAGCCCTGAGAGCATGACTGACATTTACAAAAGACACTCCCAGCTGGCCAAGTTTCCCCACCAGAAAATTTCTGCTTTAAATCTTAAAATGTTTTAGAATTTAAGTATTACAAAGGTTTTTTCTTGCTGTTGTTTTAAAGTTAGGAGTTCTCTTAGGCTCTTGAGCTTCTAAAAAGACCATTTCCACTGCAAATTTATGGAGGAATAATAATAATAATAATAATTAAAAAAAAAACCCAAAGAGCCCTTTCAAAAGCCAGTGCACTAAGGCTGCCATCAAAACACACAATCTAGGATCTGGGAGGGAGGGAGACTGAGCTTGTGATCCCCAAGTGTAAAACTTTGAGAGACGATCTGACCTGAAAAGAAAGAGGGGAGTGACGGGGTGTCCAGCAGCTTAGTGGAAAGAAGGGATGCTAAATAAAAATTTGTAATACAAACCAGTGCCATATCCTGGTTCTCCAAGTTCAGTCTAGGTGATCTAGGCACCATTCCATGAATACTTTAAATAAAAAGACTGAAAAAAAAGATTTGCCTTGGGAAACGGACCCTCTCTGAGTCCTACCTGAACACCAAGGTGGTTCTCTTTCTGAGAAGCCCGAGTGCCAGGCAAGTAAAACATTTTTATTTCCTTTTTCCATTTTTTCCTCTTTTTTTAAACGATTCCCCACCATCTGCAACCTAAGGCAGAAAACTCACCGTTATTGTCACTAACCAAGTGAGAAGTTTGGCTAGCAAAATGCCCAGTCAGGACTCTTACAGTATTTTGGAGGGCACCAGCTAGCGGCCTAGCGAGCAAGGAATACAACATTGAGCTTTGCAGTAGCCGAAACGCAGACAATACCTCGCTCTGGCAAAAAAAATAAAATAAAATAAAAAAAAAAATCATTTCACTAAAGGTTGAGAGGCAAGGGAGGGAAGGAGATCATCACAAAACTCAAGTCTCTTAATAAGGAACCCCTCTCCCCCTTCCCCCTCTTGGAGGCACTCTAGTAGGCCCACGATAGGCCTTTCCATAAACGCCCCAGTTGTGACCCGTTCCTGTCCCGCTGGAGCCAGCAGTCCCTGGCCCCAGCTCGCTGTAGTTTTGAATTTTGGCCTCTGGGTGTACCAGTGTGTTGTTGCTCCCCTCAGCTTTTACAAAGGACTGCCCAATAACCGAATGTAACGCTAAGGGGACTCTGGTGAAACGGAGGTCCTGGTCCCCTGGAAACTGAACAGATCCTGTGCCCTGGTAATTGCTCGCCTCCCCATGGTGGCTCACAGAGCCCAAAAAGGTCCTGCTTTTCCCCAGAGTCTGGGCAGAGGGTTCTGTTAAAGTTTGGCCAGCACTCCGCTCGTCAGCAGTGAATCCCCCCTCCGACCCCTCCGTGCCGTAAGTCCTGGACGGCTGCGATCTGACGTAATCCGCAGATCTCAAGGCTTGGTGATCGGACGTCGAGTGGCTTAGCGGCTCCGCCTCTTGCTGAGAAAAAAGCTGCAGCAGGGCGGCCGTCACGGCTGGGTTCAAGTCCTGTGCTGCACTGGAGAGATCTCCTTCAGACAGAGGAGGTGGCGGTGGTGGTGGTGGTCCAGGGGGCTCAGGGGGTCTCTTCTCTGGTGGGAGAATGCGAGGAGGACATGCTGTGGAAGGGTTACTTCTTTTAAACAACATCTTAAATCACATGTTAACAGATAAACACATTTACAGAAAACAAACAGCCCACCACGGGAGACAGCCTGCTCTCTGGGATGGACAGAGAAAGAGGCGGAGTTTTTATAGCTGGTAATCCTTGAAAGGTAAGTGTACACGTTCATTAACATTTTCCCCTGCTCTTACTCCCCCACCTGCCCACATTCTTGGCTCATCAAGAACAGCTGTCCTAACACATGGGTACCTGTGAACACAATTCCTACTTTTAGATCAAAGGCTAACGCAGAGAGGGAGAGAAAGACCGATGCGAAATCACATGACAGAGCGTGTGCCTTGAAAGCAGTACCTCCTGCTGCTGCAAAAGGACATAAGACCTCAATGCTCTATTAATACACTTACTGGCAGCTGTATCTCGGGGCTAACTGTATGCAATTTTACTGATGAAGCGTGGACCCACTGTGTAAAAAACAAGAACAAGTTTTGACCAAGATCCGAGCCTTAGAGTAAAACGGAATTTCCCTTCTTCGCTACTTAGGAAGCTTGTGACAAGAATTATATTTTTTACTTGGTTTGTTTTATAGCAGCTTAAGAAATAAATTTGCACAAGGACAGTCTTTTAAAAATATATAGATATAAAACACTCAGAACTATAAAAATGTTTTCACATGATTCACAGATTGCCCGTTACAAAAGGACAATCAGTTTATTTCGTGCTCTGTTTTGCCCAGATTTGAACTAATGAGGATGTTTGTTTCAAAAGGATCTCCCCTTATGAGAACAAAATATTTTTTGCACATTGTCATGGTCACAACTCTATCACTGGTCCCTATTTACTGCTGCTACTGAGTCAGTGGTAAGAACAAAGCGTTCTGCTTTCTTACATCACAACAGTGAAGGGTTCCATCCCATTCCCAGTTAAACTGCCGTCACACTCAGAAAAGTGACTGCATTTAAAAAGAAAAACACCCCAAAAAAACACAGAGAGAAGGCCATTTCCTATTGGACAGATCTGCTTCCCTGGGTGTCAGTGTGATGGCTTTACTGGAAAAAAACAGTTCTCACTCTTGTTAGGCTTGCAGAGCCAACGCAGCCCAGCCGTGAGAGTGTGACTCAACGTGAACTCATTGTCAACAACACGATCAGCTGAATGGTGATTCTTGTCATTACCGGTGACGCTATAAGAGGCACCAAGGACATAGCCTGAGAGTCAGAGCCTTGGTGGAGTTTGCAACAATGGTAATTAAGAAAATCATCTTTAGACTTAAAGCAGATCAGATTTGGTCAGAACACAAAGCACACACTTCCCGGTAATATTTTTAAGTTAACTTTTCTGACTATTAATTGCACTTTAATACTAGGCTGTGTTAGAATCCAGAGGACAAGTAAAAGTATTTTGGGCCAGTGCCCATTTTTCAAACAGTTAATAATAATAATGCAAGATGTTGCACTGGACTTGACCCTGTTTTACACTAACCTAATGATAGTTCAGTACTGGGGCAAAAGTATGATCATGAATAAATTCTGATGAGTGTGTGCATTTGGATGGAGTGATTGCTATTACTGAAAAGCAAGATCTTCAACTGTATTGCAGAGAGGAGCTGTGAATAAGGTTGAAAGAGGTTCTCTGGAGAAATAAGTTGTAATTCATTTGCAGCAGGAGCGTTTATAATCTGCTGCTCCTATCATCCTGTGGTGCTCTGTTGGCAGTAATGGAAAATACGGACACACATTTAAACTCACCTCTGGGAAGGAAATCCAAAATTCCACTGGCACAAGCCAAATCTTTTATGAACAAACCTCTCTCCCACTATCTTAGGAATGGGCACTCAGCTCAATTTGTTCAAGTCTGTCAAATTTTAGGACTCATAAAATTGAGAGAGACCATTAGATCTAAAACCAGGCCGAGTGAAGCCAGGCGTGTCGGCTTTTTCCTTCCAGAACTGCTGCTGCATTCCCTGCCAATCCCGTGCAACACACTCCAGGCTTTTCTAGACATATTTTTGCATGTGTGAGAAAGACCACTAGGACTCTAAGAGAGATTAGTCACTGTGCGGCTCTGATGTCCCGTGCAAAACCTGCATGTGTGTAAATGCAACATGAATTTATTAGCACAGTATCACTGGCCAATGTTAATCAGTCACTGGGCATCGGATCATACCAAAAAAGAACTCATCGGGTTTGTCTTTTAAAAGAGGAATCTTTTCAAATTTCACTGCCCATTCACCACCCTGTTGAAAGATTTTAAGTGCTCTGGAGAAGTGAGGTTGCCTGACCGATTTTTGAAATATCTGCGGTGTGCTTGGCTACTCTGGAAGTTTTAACCAGCTGCCCTAGCTGCTCAAGCCTATTTATGAGATTCTGCTGCACCCAGTCTCTCAGATAAAGCGACTTGAGTGAGTGGCCAGTCACCTCCCCCAGAAAGTCCTGAAGTTTGACACCCCCCCAAAGCTGGTGTAAGCTTGGCACCAGGCTTCTTTCCACCCCTTTGTAAAGCACCCTCTTTACAATGCGCACGAGGCCTGGCTCCCCACGGTCACAGTTATGAACTAGATGCACTTTTATGGAATGCTTAAGATTCCTCAGAAGGGTGAATGGCACCCAAGGTCCACAAGCAACAGTCACGATTATTTACCTGTGCTTTCCTCCTGCTGCGTGGTAGGGGTTTTCCTTGGCCCACGTTGCTCACTGCTCTTCTCCCCGTTGCTTTCCTCCAGGTTTACAGCAGGTTCCTGGGTCTTCATCAGCTGACTCAGCAGAACAGCCAGCATGTTCTGCATATCTCCCTGAGTGCTAGCCGCTTCCGGGGTTGTCTGCTCCTCTGGCGGCTGGACCTCTGTGGGTGGCTCTTCTTCGATGGCTTCCTCCAGGGCCACTTTCTGAGAGTCCTGCTGCTGAGTTGTGACTTCTGTCAGAGCGCTGATGGACTGGTTGAGAGCTTCCAGCTGCTGCTGCATCTCCGGGTTAGAGTGTACGTTCAACAGCTGGGCCATCTGTGGGACACTGAGATCCGTCTGGCTCTGCAGCAAGTTCAGTAAAACAGCCAGTTCGCTTTGATTCAGCTGCTGCGTGATGTCTCCGAGGCCTGCAGAGAATACAAGAAGCGTCACAGAAAGCGGCTCGGGAGAGGCATAGCACATAAGTTCATAACCGTTACTTTGGAAAAGCAGAGCAGAAAAACCACCTCCCAACCTTTCAAAAGCAAGGAGGGAGTTTTAGGAAAGCAATTCCATGTCAAAGTTTGCTCAAATACCTCCTGATGATCTCGGTTTGGGCACTCAGCGTTTGGCTGTTTTGGCTTATTTTCATTCCCCTTTGTGGTGTTAATATTTTACAGTCACCTAGCACTTTCTAACCAGAAGAATTCCCCAGAGTGCTCTGCAGATCAGAAGTGCTTCTTCCAGCACTGAAAAGCAGGTCCTTCTGGGATGGAATGCAGCAGCTGTTTAACAGCACACATGACAATTTTGGGCAGAAAGTGCAGCAGAGTAGGGATCCAATCAAAACGGGAGGGGAAATTGTGTTGGGCAAAATGTAATTTCTCATGCTGGAATCTGGTCAGCGAGCATGTGGGACTGGGTCCTGATAAGCATGTGTCAAAGTCTCATCTGAAATATGACACCTCCAGTGGCACAACCTCCCTTGGCATCAAGCTGGAGCACAGCACCCGTTGCTGACTCAGAAAAGAGCGCCATTTGTTGCTGAATCACCAAGTTGCCAGTACACCAGTATCAAACTACAGGTAAGAAATTCGTGTGGGTATTTTATTTTATACTCCGTTCTTTTTTGCAAAACTGTCAGAAGCTTGAAAACAAGCTTCCGGTACTTGTTAGCAAGCTGTGGCTTCTGATTTTCCACTCCACTCTGCATGTTTTATTGTTCCCTCATTCACCCAGCCCCATTCCCCTTCTTTTAGCCACATATTGCATCCCAACTCACAATCTCACTGGGGCACGACGGGGTCCTGACCCCTGACTGGGGTTCCTCAGTGCTTCCATACTACACAGACAACAGATTTGTTTAGAAAATGTTGGATGCGTCTATTTCGAGGGGTCAATATGGCTCCCTGGCATTTACTTAATATTTAGGCACCAGCATGAATAGATAGTGCAAGGTCCTGATCCTGCACACATTGACTACCAGGCATAATCTTTACTACAATCATTAATGGGCAAAAATCCATTGATCCCAGCAGAGAATTTGGACTTTGCCTACAAGATATTCCCACCTCCTCCTATTCTGAGGGTTAGTCATTATAATGCGACACACAATTAGGTCAAAAACAATTACAGAACAGAATTCCTAGGTCATCCAGTCCATCTGCCTGCACGATTGTTTCCTTCAGTATATTCTCAGATACTTTGCTGGTCTTAAATGTCTCAAGATTCTATTTAGTCTTTGTTGTCATACAGGAATTCATGCAAAGGAGCAAAGGGTGTATAATGGTATGTACTAGGAGCTCATTTCCTCTCGATGTAATGTATACTCCAGCTGACTATAAATTTGACCAGGAGCCTTCAGAGACCAGCTGGAAACATTTGCAATTGACAAAGTTCCCACTGGAATGGACGCAGGAAACCGCTGTGACAACATCAAACTGACCTATTGCATCTCCAGCACCAGGCTCTATCTTGAGCTGGGCAGGCGGTGGGTGTGCCGGGCTGCTGTTGTTCTTCACAGCGTCGGTGCTCGTTACGGAGGTAGTTTCTTTCCGAGAAACTTTAGATGATGGAGGTTCCTCCACGGTGATCCCACTTTGCCGTTGTCGTCGGCGTTTCTTGCTCCATAGCTCGTGGCAATCCTGCCAGTGAGGGAGGCTGGAAGAGGACAAGATTTGGTGAGAGGAAAAACATAGGGAAAGCGACAAGAACGCCTTCTGGGAAGTCCTGAGTTACACTCGCGTGGCTGGGGAAGTTCTCAGTAACCCAAAAGGATCACTGAAACATTGCTCTGATGGCAGCAACATTGCTAAACAAGGAGGGGGTTGCGCCCTACCGTGAGGAAGACATTCGGGCACTCACACCGCTTAAACTGTACAGGGATCTTAATTAAGTCAGGACTAGATTAGCTTTGATGCATGTAGCTCCTAGTCAGGGCTCAATAAAAGGGTAACTGGTGAAATTCTATAGCCTGGGACAGACAGAAGACACAGATTAGATGATCTAGTGCAGGGGTTCTCAAACTTTATTGCACCAGGACCCCTTTCTGACAACAAAAATTACTACATGACCCCAGGAAGGGGGACCGAAGCCTGCGCCCACCCAAGCCCCACTGCCCCAAGTGTGTGTGTGTCTGTGTGGCGAGGGGAGGGGGGCAAGCCAAAGCCTGGGCGGTGGAGCTTCAGCTTCAGCCCTGGGCAATAGGGGTCGGACTTTGGCCCTGGGCCCAAGCAAGTCTAACACCAGCCCTGGCAACCCCATTAAAAAGGGGTTCGCGACCCAGAGTTTGAGAACCGCTGATCTAATGGTCCTGGAAGGATAAGGCCTTTTCCTGTAGCCATATTGTAAGGCCTGAGGTCTTTGTCTGCAGCCATATTAAGAGCAGCAGCCATGAACTAAGAAGCAGGAAGTCACATCCTCACATTCCATCTAAATGACATTAAAACAATGTCATATCAGACTGTTCGGAAGGAGATCCCGTACTAACAGCACCCACTATCACCAGATACAGAAACAGATCTTAAGATGTTAAAGAAAACTTAGTTTGATAGCATCCTGTCGGTCAAGAAAACACTTATCAATAGTTGTGGTTGTGAAATCCTCATTTATTTATTGTTTTGTCATTATGGTCCCCACTTCCCTATTGTTTGTCTGTCGGGTCTGTCTGGTTCTTTGACTGTTTCTGTCTGTTACATAATTAATTTTACTAGGTGTAAATTAATTAAGGTGGTGGGATGATTAGGTTAGAGAATTTTGTTACAATATGTTAGATTTGGTTAGTAATATTTTAGTAAAATGATTGGCTGAGGCACAGCTAAGCAGAACTCAAGTTTCACTCTATAAACGGGGGTCAAAAAGGAAGTTCTTTGGGAACCAACTCCAGGACGCAGCCCCAAAGATCAGAGCTGCCAGACCTCAACACACTGCCAAACACACCGTGCAGAAACTGGAGTCCCCCAGATGACCTGATCCTGACTGGCCATCAAGAAAAGTTCATGTGTCTTATTGGGAGTGTGAGCATTGTACGTGTGGCGTGTGCATTCTGTTTTGGTGATTGTTAATAAACAGAGGTTAAGTAGGATATTACTGTGTAAGGCTCTTTCACTGGTAAAAGACCCTGTAAACTCACAAAAGATTAAGCTCTGAGCCCATAGGGAATGGGTGTTTACTCTGAGCCCATAGGGAATGGGTGTTTGCTCTGAGCCTGGAAGAGTAGAGCCCGGAGCCCACGGAGGGGTAAAGTTAGGTGCCTTTTGTCTGGAGCCCTAGGAACTGGGAAAGGGTGGAGGTGCCTAAGTTAACCGGGTTATGCCTTGAGCCCTAGGAACGAGGTAGGAGGTGGGTTCCCTAGAGTGTGCAAGTGACAGATAATTTTGTGTGGGTAACAGTCCCTTTTGACCTTAAAAAAAAGAACCTCTGAATCTAGTTCACAGGCCCAGGGAAAACCGAGACACCCATTTCACTGCCTTGCATATGTCTGGATTCCTCATTTGGAGCACTAAGAGAGTTCAATGGCAATACTCAGTGCCTCGCTGAGACCTCTCGAACAATCCAAGCGTGTTTACAGTTTTGGGTTTTGCTTGGGAACAGACAGCTGCTCCAGCAGTTTTCAAAACCCAAACCCATCAGGGCCTGTGACGTGCTAAACTGCGAGACAAAATGATGGTCTCATGACAGGGGCTGCCCTTGGCAGCTCTAAAGAGGTCACAGGTATTTCCACACCAGTCATCCCTGCGTGCGGCGACACAAAGGAAGCAGAGCAGGGTTTCACAATCAGTGTGCTCTTTGGGGTGGAGCTGTGACACGCTGCTCAACAGCGATCCTTCTAGCCAATTAATAAGCAGTATTAACGAACTCAAAAGGCCCAGCCAATCCTCTTTGGCAAAGAGGATGGGTTTTTTTTAATTATACTTTACCCTTCTATATCATCCTCCATCAGAGGATCTCAGAGCACTTTACAAGCATTAATAAACTGAGCTTCAGCCGCTGTGAGAGATAAGTGGCATCCCCATTTTACAGAGGGGAGAGGCAAAAGAGACACCAAGGTAAAGTGACTTGCCCACAGCCACACGGCTGTGGCAGAGCAGAGCAAAGAGCCTAGGAATCCTCGCTCAGGCCACTACTTTTGGCAAACAGCAGTGGGTGATGCCGATTGACACTTACTCTGGAGGAGCCATCTTGCCGAGGTCCACATCCTTAAGGAAATCACTCTGCAAGGCCTGTTCTGCTGTGCAACGTTTGCCAGGGTCCAGCGTCAGCATGTGGTCCAGCAGATCGAGAGCAGCTGAAGGAATGCTGGGTAAAGATTATGGGGACAAGGCTAGAATTAAGAGGCTGTTCTAAAAGGAGAGGGCGGGTGGAAACTGTGCCACAGGCTCAGAAAATGGCTTGACCACTCCCCTTGAGACATGGGGCAGACCCACCCAGGCCACATTAATATTGGAGTCCTACCAGCTCAAGCAAGGGACACACTCCAAAGTATCTGTGGCACGAAAAACAGACACTGGATTCATAATATTTTCAGTATCACGTTAGCCATTAGTGACTTTAAATTCCGCTTTGAAGCCACAAGGCAAATCACAGGATGAAGGTCTTCCTGAGACCGTGCACACCACTGTCCTTGGAGGCAGACAATTGCAGCTTTCCCTTGGGCCTGGTTCTCATGAAGGGAGTCTTGACAGGCTAAGGCTGTGCTGGAAGTTTCCTAGCCAGTGGATTTAAAGTGAGTGCTGCAAAGAGCTGTGGGTGGGGTTAGAAGGCAGCTCATTCTTGAGCAACAATCACGGGATAGAAATTCAAAGAGGTGTCGATGGGCCACCTCCAGCTTTCCTGGGATGGGAAAGAGTCCCCCAGGAGGGCAAAGGGAAATGGGAGAACTGTCCCTTCATCCCACCACCACCTGCCCGGCCACCTAAAGGAAGGTGAAGGCAGCCAGCCAACGTTCTAGTGACATCACTAGCAAGTGGTTATAGAAGGTCACGAAGCCACAAACACAGTCACTCCTCTCCTCTCCAACTCACAAAGAGAACTCCTCCCGCAGGCGCCTTCGGTATTGCTTCTTCGGTTTCATAGTGTTGAAGTAGGGCAGCTTGATGACGTCCGGCCACACAGCTGGGCAGGGGCTCCCGCAGAGCCGGCTACAAGAGAACCGGAGAGCAAGAACGCAATCAACACGCGCAGCACAGCCAGCAGGAGAAGCAGAAGAGCTGCCCAAGTGAAACAATTTCCTCTCTGAATCAGCTTAGCAAACCGACAGCCCAGGCCTGAGGACACACTGAGGAGGGTTAGACAGAAGCTCAGGTAAAAGCAGGATCAGGAAGAGAGAGGCTTACCTTGGTTTTAAAACCATTTGACAGCGAGTTTTCAGTGCTGATCTCTATTTTGGCAGGAGTGATTTTTACACTCAAATATCTACACCCTCACTTCGCTACTGGTGTGAATATTAATCGTCAGGCATCGCAAGCACAAACACCTAGAGGCCTAACCGCTTGTATTTGTAGTTACTGTCATGGCTGGCCTCACTTTGCCAACTGATTAGGGTTCGAGAACTGCTGTGATACTGAGACTAAGTGCCCGAGCAGTTTCCCCCGCACTACTTCTCACAGACACACGTGCACAATGCTTTACCTGATTAATTCAAGCTGAGCCAGTTCCAGATTGGCTTGAAAAATAGGCTTCTTTGTAAACAGTTCCCCGAGGATACAACTGGAAGAGGAAAACCGACAGGTCACGACAGCAGACACGGGGGACGATCATTGGACTAGTGTTGCATTTCTGGCTATAAGCAGCTTTGCCTGAGGGTTCATTTGCATCAGAAACTGGGAACTGAGCAACTAACCTGCGTGCGAAGAGTCAGCCATCACGTGCATTTAGGGGGGGGGGGGGACACTTGCCAATGGCCCTGTTAAGATGGCAAGCCTGCGACATATTAACTCTTCTCGGGCAAAGGGAAATGAAGGCTTAGCTGGGCCAGTCTATTAGAAATGGCCAGCGGTATATCACTTGCCTTGAAAAAGATAAATTGAGTCTATTATACCTCCAGCTAGGGGGAAAAAATAGGGGAGGGAAGAGTTCAGTCTCCATTATCCATTCAATCCCTGGCGTCTACGGTGAGCTTCTGACAGGAGTACAAATTAGTGCCAAATACAGGCGTGGTCTGAGGTGGGCACCTAGGCGAACATCAACTTTCTACATTGGACACTGAACAACAACTTGACTTCATAGAGTTTTCAGAAGGGATCAGCACTCTCAAATTGGGGCCAAATTGACAAGAGAGCTGAGTTTCCATTAAAAGGCCAATATAAGTAAGTAAAATTTACAAAAAAGAGCTCGGCCGGCCGTGCGCTGAGCTCAGCTGAAAATTCGGCCGAAAGCAACACAATGAAAGCTGCTGTGTGCTGAGCCCTTTGGAAAATCCGGCCCCAATTGTGGATCCTGCATTCTTGAAACTCAAGTTCTGAGATTCTTTAAAAACCTGGCTCTACGTTGCTAAATTCACAGGCATCAAATTGCTCCGGTGGCTATATAAGGCCACTGGAAGGCCCTGAGTTCTCCAATTTATGATCTTTTATGGATATTGCTCTCTTCTGAG